TATTGACTTTAGAGAGGAAAGTAAATATATATATATATATATATATATATATATATATTCTGTGGAAAATCAATAAAATATATATATTGACTTTAGAGAGGAAGGAAGAGGGATAGAGAGCTAGAAATGTCGATGAGAGAGAAACATCGACCAGCTGCCTCCCGCACACCACCCGCTGGGGATGTACCTGCAACCAATGTACATGCCCTCGACCGGAATCAAACCTGGGATCTTTCAGTCCACAGACCGACGCTCTACCACTGAGCCAAACCGGTTTCGGCAATAAAAATATATTTTAAAAAAAAGAAAATATCTTCATCATCCAGACAGGTAGACTGGAGTGTTTAGAGAGAAGATGTCATGATATCTGGATTTAATTTAAAATACTCCAGCAAACAGGAAAATTAAGTAGCAAATGTGGAAAATGTTTTGTCATTGTTAAATATTGAGGGTATGTTTGCTTTACCACTGCCTCTAACTTTTTAAATGCTTTAAAAAAAAAAAAAACAAGATGAAAAGCAAAAAAATAAAATGAAAAGTTCAATGAATAAATGAGAACAGATGAGAGAAGAAACTGTTCCTATATTAGAGGTTTCTTTTGTTTTCTCCTTTAATGACTTCGTTGGCATATTACTCTATAGCTTCCAATGTTAAAAATAGCAATTTTTATACATATGCCGCAAAGAAGATAAAGCTGAGGAAATAAGCTCAAGAATTCAGTTATTTAAAATAATAGTTTTCTAATAACTTACTAAGGCTTTTAGAGGTCATTGCTTATATTGACTGTTTATTAATCAAGTCACTGAGGAACATAAACAAGATAAAAAGGTATGAAGGCTGAGGGGGAACAAAATGGGGAAAATGAAAGGTAATTAAGTCAACACAACAGACCCCAAATAGCAGGAACTGTCCTGAACGGTGAGCCAGTCCTGGCTGGAGCACCCCTGCTTCCTGTACACACTGTGGCAGGCCACTGACCCTCCCAGTCAGTCTTCTCAGCTGTGAAATGGGAGTTACTGGCACACCTGCCCCCCCGAGCAAGCTGCTCTGCGATAAAGGAAGCAACCATGGCCCCTCCTGTTGCCTGTCCAGTGCACAGGCCCAGGGGCTGGGGGAAGGGTCTGAGGGCTTGAGCGTGTGTGGGAAAATGGAGGCTGGCTAGCTTCTCACAGAAATCACTAATTAGCCAACCACCACTGCCCTGGTGGGACCCAGCCGGGACTGTGAGGTCAGCCAGAGCTTCCGTTACTGCCTGCAACCCCTGAGCTGTCCCAGAATTGTTTACTCAAAGCCCCCTCAGAGGTCTGCTCCTCAGCTCTGTCTCTCACTCCATTTGGGCCCAACTCTCCGGGCAGCTAACCTGATCAGTTAATCTATGCTAAATTACTAATGGATTCAAGAGGTTAATGTGTAACTAGCCTCCCCTCCGACTGAGGCGTGCTGGAGACCCAGGCCCTGGTGACTCATTAGCCTGGGTGGGAATTCCGGGCACCAGGCAGCCCTCTTCACATCAAATCAAATTCTGGGAAGGTACTTAAAAAATCCTACAGAAAAGGCAATTCATATGTGAATACAATCGAATCAACAGCAGGATGGGCCAAAGAATCCTCTAAGATAGGGGTGTCGAACTCAATCAGAGAAGGAGCCAAAATCTAAAATCCAGCCTAAATCACGGGCCGAATGGTTTACTGAACAGTCATAAACTGTCATTGTGATGGAAACGCAGCGGAGTGCAGTGATGACAGCGCGGTGCGGGCCACATTGCAAGGCCTGGCGGGACGGATTTGGCCCGCGGGCCTTGTGTTTGACACATGTGCTCTAAAGAGACTGGGACAAACAAAAGGCTATGTTTATGAGCTCTGTGACCTTGGGTAAGTCAAATTCATGGACTTCTCTGTGTCTCTATTTTCCCAACTGCAAAATCAATCCAGGCTAGGGGTAAGGATTAAAATATATAATCCACGTAAAACATGGGTAATAGTGCCTGCCACAAAACGCATGCTCAACAAATATTAGCCATCGTTAGTGTCCTTTAGAGATTAGATTAGATGGAAGTCAAAAAGGATGCTCTGAAATCTTAAGTAAAAATGCATTTTTTAGAGGCAGCTTCTTCCATTGTTTTCGGGGCAATCTGGCCCACAGTGGGATCTGATCCGGGCTCACGTCAGCCCACTTTCTACCAGCTGTGTGTCTTTAGAGCGGTCATTTTCTCAACTGTAAAGTAAGGAAAATGATTCCTACCCCACAGTGTTGATGACTGGATTACATGTGATAATCTATGGCACATGTGTAGCTCTGAGACCCCATCCATATGCAGATACTATGAGACCAACAAATGATGACTTTAATTAGCATATTTTTCCGCCTTTATGATAATATCCTTGGGGATCTAACTAAAAAGTGACAGTACATTCTAATGGGGTAACAGGTCCCCAATCCCTAATGGAGACTAAACCATGGTAATCTCCAGGTCAATACAATAGGTACAAGGAATTTAATGAGGTGGCAAGGAACCCTCAGCTCTGACCAGCTCAGTGTTCCAAAGAAGTAGGTACAAAGCAGGATTTTTATCTGTGTGGCATTGACAGTCTCATTCCCAAAAAGAAAAAGAGAAAGCAAGCAAGCATAGGATCTTGGGCTTGGCTGTTGGTCCCTGGTGACACAAGGGCTATGGGGCTACCCAATAACTACATGTCACCATCCCCATTTCTTTTCAAACTCCATTTTCTGATTATGAAACTGCTATAGAATCATGGCAAAAATATAAGAACATAAAAGACTGCCAAACAGAAATAATTCCTCTTAATATTTTCATGCTATTGGCTTCAGATTTTTTCTTTACACCCACATGCACCCACACACACTGCATTATTTTAAAAAATGATGTCATACCATATACATGGAATCATTACTGCCTGTTCACTTAATATACATATTTCTGTGTTTGTTAACATACATCTCTGCCATCATTGTTAAAAGCTGCATAGGAATCCATCAAATGCACACCTCACCCCCTACCCATGGGCACTTGGGTTGTGCCTAGCATTTTTCTATAATAAATAACACTGTACTGAGTATTCCCCCAACAATATCTTTACACAATTGCCCGATTATTTCCATAGAAGTGGCATTGGGGGGTTAATAAGTGTATAATTCCTAAATGCCTTAAGAAACAAAAACCTGGCCTTGCTGAGATGGGAGGGTGACAGAGGTATTTTAGCAACAGATACACACCGTCTTCTATGCCCAGGCAAACAAGACAATCTTCTTCCTGTTGGCCCACTCCCCTGCCTTCCACTCACCTATCAGAAAGCATGTCTACTCACTGATAAGGACAACTACATCCCCTTGTGCAAAGTTCAGGGTCAAATAGAGAGTGTTCATGTGACAGAACGTGGGGTTTCATCTGGAAATGCCAAGGGAAGGATGGGCAGAAAGGGGCTTACAAAAGAGCACAGGTCCCTGAATGGCTCCCGTGGGCAGGCCACTTGGTTACTCTTGGTTACCCCAGTCTTGTGGTTGGGGGGCAGGGGGCATCCCTGAAGCTAAATGCATTGACTTACTGAGAGGATGTTTTTCTCTCTGACCAGAGGTCTTCTCTCACCCCCCACCTATCTTCACTTCCTGTGTGAAGGCTACCTGGTTTCGAAGGGTGCCATGCCTGCTGACCCATCTCTCTAATAGCAGCTGGCAACTGTGCCATACTCCAAAGTTCTCCCAACTATTGTGAGCCCCTGCATCTGAGCTGAAAGAAGGGGTGCAGGAGCAGCTGGAGGAGAGAAACCAGAGTGCCAGTCCAGCAGCAGCCTTGGGAGGGACAGTCAAAGCTGCTGGAATGAAGGAAGGGCCCACCACACTGGTCACTGACAAGCCAAGTCAGAAGGAAAAATAAAGGCCGGCCGTGGTGATCTGAAACGTGGCCCTTAACGGCCCCGATACCAACAATGGCCAGAACCCAAACAAGCTTTTATGAAAAAGCAAGGCATCTCCCACTGTTCTTAATCTTCACCGTTTTAGATTCCCTCTTCTTTGTGTTTAAATAAGATTTGACAATGACTTGTCCTCTAGCCCAGAAAATCAATCCAAAGTCCATTGACTTGGACAGTTAATTTAAAAATAAACCTTGAGGGTATTTTGAAAGGCATTATTAAGTCTTCTCCTTCTCTCTCTCTCTCTCTCACACACACACGCACGCACGCACGCACGCACACACACACCTGCACAGAGAAAATGAACCATGGAATAAGACAAGCAAACAAGGGTTTTCCTTATGGTCTAGCTGTGAGATCCTAAGTGTCATCTCTGAAAGCCTCAGCATCCCTGCCAGGTGCAGTGGCGGTGAGAATGCTGCCCACCTCCCAGGCAGCATGCAGCCTCAGTGCGCCTGGCCAGGATGGAAGGCCATCAGCTGTGGGCACAGACTCATCTGAAAGAAACCCTACCGTGCGACCCACACTTCCATCACATTTTCCTGAAGCCACAGAGCATGAGCTAAGCTTAAGGAAAAATCCCAGGAAACACATAGTTTTCCTGAGTTCCATCTGTAACCTCACATGATAAAATAAATAGAACACAAGAAACACAAGCAAATGTTGACTAAAGATAGGGCTCTAACAGCCTAGGACAGTGGGCTACAGGCCACTGGTGGTCCATGAGGTCGGAAAGGTTGACGGCTCCTGGCCTAGGACATCACTAAGCTTAGCCATATTCAACCAAAGAGGCAGCTCTGCCCAGATTGGGCTCAGAGTCACCGCTATTTGAGTCTGAATCCCGGCCTTGTCACTTATTCGCTCTGCTACCTGGGACAAGGTGCTAAGGATCTTTTTAGCTTTCACATCTGTACAATGGGGGTACCCCAATCCCACTTGAAGATCAAATAAAAGACGGTGGCAATGGCAGTGCTTTAGGCTATGCAGGAGCTCCATCTCTGCAGCAGGGCAAGGAGCCCTCACGGGGGGGGGGGGGGGGGGGTGTCCTCCGCTGAAGGAAGACAGGAATACCTGAGGCGTCGCACGCGTGCCTTTCCGTGGAGGGCTCTCCATGGGCAGTGCCGAGCCTGTAGATGACGTGGGGTTTGTTTTGTTCATCTTCATCTTCCTGCTCATCCACGGACAGCAGTGGCTCAATAAAATAATCCCCGTCCTGGGACCGGAACGTGCCCAGCTGCAAAGGAAGAGATGGGAGGTTGACTTCATAAAAACGAAACTTTTGAAAGTGGAGATGGTGCCATTTTACCCCATCCCTTTGCCCTGAGGGCTGCTTAAACTGAAAACGCTGCGGACACATTGGGAGAAGCGATTTATTCTCATTCTCAGCCATACCGGTACCTTCTCCTTGACTTGACTATATTGTAACTGCTCACCAAATCCGTCTCTAAGGAAGTTCTAATCACACATTCCCTTCTCCAGGCTGTTGAAAGACATGTATCTCTGTGTGAAGGCAGCCTGGAAATTTAGGGACCCGTCTGAGCCCAAGAGAAAAGCTGACCCATGGTAGCATTGTCATGACTTCAAATTCAGGAAGCATATGGCACTCAAGGTGGTGCCACCTGTGACACTGGCACATGAGTCTCTCCCAGCCTCCCCTTTTTTTAAATATATATTTTATTGATTTTTTACAGAGAGGAAGAGAGAGGGACATAAAGCTAGAAACATTGATGAGAAACATCAACCAGCTGCCTCCTACACACCCCCACCGAGGATGTGCCCACAACCAATGTACATGCTCTTGACTGGAAACGAACCTGGGACCCTTCAGTCAGCAGGCCGATGCTCTATCCACTGAGCCAAGTTAGTTTCGGCACCCCAGCCTTCCCTTTGCTGCAGGGAGTGACTCGGTACCACCAGGCTTTGGGGCCAGGCTGCCCAGCACAGGTCACAGGTCCCAGCCCCAGCACAGCCGCCTACCCACCCATCTTGGACAAGTTTCTTAAATGCTGAACCTCAGCTTCCTTGTTCAATTAGGAATAAAAATACTTCCTATAAAGGATTATCCTGCAGATTAAATGAGATAATGCACTTCAAGTGCTCAGCAAAGCGACACCTTGTAAGGGCTTAGAATACATGAGTGGTTTTTGTTGTGATGGTAGCCTCTCCCCGCCAGGATACAGTTGTGTTTGCCAATCATCCTAAGTGCTCTGGAAGAGGCAAGTGTTTCTCCTCCCCTTCTCACATACCCACACTTTGCAATGAGGAATGATGCCTCAAGGGTGACCCACCCAAACAAAACGTTACAAGAGCGAGAAAAAGTTCCCCATGCTGTGTAATGTGTCAGAAGTCAAGCCCTTCTTTCATCTTCCATTGTTTCCTTTCCTGCACTACGGTAGGGAAAAAAAGGAAAGGAAAAACAGAGACCTTTACCTTTCCCTGGAGACAAAGGAAATGACTGTCCATAAAGGTTATAAACATCGTCCAGAAATGTGTTAGAAATTCCAATAATCACGCCTCACCCCAAATCTGGCTCACTGAATCAAAACCTCAGGGCAGGCAGGGCGGAGCTGGAATTTGAATGAGCACTCCACGGCATCCTTATGCATGATGAAGTGTGTGAAGCATTAGGCCTGGGCAGGTTCCAAACCCGGCTAAGCTTCAAAATTGTTTGGGAACTTTTTAAAAATTCAGATTCCGAGCATTATCCCTTATCTGCAAACTGGAATTTCCAGGGGTAAGGTTTAGCATCTATGTTTTTGTTTGTTTGTTTGTTTGTTTGTTTTTAAGTTTTCTACATGAATTAGGGGGCCACTAGCTCCAAAGGGGAACAGCTCTCGTGTGCACAGAGTAAGCAAAAGAGTAGCTGGTTTCTGGCCAAGTGACTTAACAAATGTATTCTCACCCGGGAAGCTCTCTCTGTTTCCAATGTTCAACTCTGGTGTTCCCTGAACACAGTGCAGCATAGATACTACTATATGTAAAGCCTACTGGACACAGGCCACAAGTGCTGGGGGAAAACCCGAGAGTTCATCTGGTGAGGGTCGGGCCCCTCTGGTGAAAGGGAAACTGAGGGAGAAAGCGGCTTGTCCACAGCTGCCCTTTGGTGGTGCAGAGCAGCTGAACAGAGCCAGAGCTGAATCTAGAATTCAGGAATCTCATCTTCAGTCCAGTGCCTTTTTATGTTATCTTTACTATTATTTTTTAAATCCTCACCCAAGGACGTGTCTTTATGGATGCTTAGAAAGAGAGAGTGAGAGAGAAAGAAACATGGATGTGAGAGAGAAACATCAATTGGTTGCCCCATGTGTGCACCCCAACCAGGGATGGAGCCTGCAACCTAGGAATGTGCCCTGACCAGGGGTCAAACCCACACTTTTTGGTGCATGGGGTGACGCTGGCCAGGGCAGTGCAGTGCCTTTTTAAATGACATTCTCTTTAGGGATACAGATTCAGTCTCTGAGTGGCTAGATGCATGGGTCAGAAAGACGGGTGGGAACCCCAGCTGTGCCACTCGTGAGTATGAGATTTTGAGCAAGCCTCCAACTCTCAATGCCTCACTGTCTCCGTCTGTAAAATGAGTTGAGCATCGGATTGTTGTGAGGGTTTTGTATGAGATGATGCTATATAAAGCACTCATTACAGGGCAAGACACATAATAAGAGGTCAATAAATGGTACCTATATGGAGCCAAATTAATGTTACTGTTGATTCACAAGTAGTTGCTTGATCTAAGAGTAATTCTTTCTTGGTCAAGTGAACATTTATTCAAACATACAGGCTATCCCATATAATAAAACCCTAATATGCAAATAAACCGAACAGCAGAACGACCAGTCCCTATGATGCGCACTGACCACCAGGGTGTAGATGCTCAATGCAGGAGCTGACCCTGGTTCCCACAGGGGAGTGCTGCTCAGAAGCCTACCAATAACTATAATTATAATACAGGGGAGCGCATACAAGAACATAAGAGAAATACACATGCACATATGCATCTATGAAGGTGAAGAGGGAGACATGACAGCAATCCGTAGGACCAGGAAGACGTTTCCTGGGAAGGAAGATATCTAAGTTACATTGAAGTTACACTTCAACATTGAGAAGGTGAAGCTGGGTGAGGTGAACAAATAAATCTGGAGGCCCAAGGGCAATGAGGCAGGATTCGGATAGGAGGGAAATTCAGAAAAAGAAGCAAAAGCAGGTTGCCTGAAATACAGGCCTTGTGGAGGGAAGCTTGAGAGATGCCCCTGGGCCTGCCGGAGGAAGAGGGGTGAGAAGTACTGCAGATGGTCTCAAGGACCAGGAGTTCACAGTTGTGACTGGGCATGCGCTGTGCAGAGCTGGTGAGCAGGAGAACGATGTGGCCTTGCACTTGATGATCATTCGTTTGTTAGTGGCAGAGCTTAAGAGAGAAGAGTCTGAGGAAAAGCCGGAGACAAATATTTCTTAGACATCAGTCCTAATGAGGGCAGAGAAGTGAAGAGGGTTAGAGTTAGGGTAGAGATGCTCAGAAAAGGTAAGAGACACGTCTGAGATGGAATTCAAGGAAATTGATATTTTACCAGAGAGGTGTTTGTGTGTGTGTGTGTGTGTGTGTGTGTGTGTGGTGATGGGGGAGGCAGAAATAGCATGGTCCACTCTGAAGAGGGAAAGGTTTCCTAGGAGATTTCCTGGGAGATTTTAGGCCACTGGGAACATCACAATTCCACAGCTACAGAAAATGGTAAGGGGAAGTCTTGGGGGAAGGGGAAGGGAGGGGGAGAAAGACAAGTTTCAGAAGGAAGACAAAGTGGCAAAGGTTTGGGGGATAGATTAACCACTGCCATGCCGTGTGCAAACATGTTAGAACTGCCCCCTGCTCCAAATGAGGCAGATCGCAAATGACATGCAGTATAAACAGGGTTATCAGGGTCTAGGCACCGTTTTTGAGGAAGCAGGCCCAGGTTGCCTGAGTTACCACCACTCGCAGCTCCACGTGCGAGCTGCTGCCTGACCTGCCAATAGGAACGCAGGGCCTGCGCAGCAAAATATTCCTACAACCACAGGGGCCACTCCGTGGGTGTGGAGGCGGGGAAGGGGAGGAGTAACGGCTGTTTACAAACTGGACGTGTGGGCGCAGCCCTACCCCTTAGGCTCTGAAATTCGGGGTTACAGTCTTGGGTTCTGCATGCATGTCCTTGGTTCCGGCACCCGAACTATGCCCACACCGGCCGGCTGGAACCTTTGGAAGAACTGAAGGATTCCTGGGCTCCAGCCTACCTAGGTCTGCAGGCAGCGATGGCGTACCAGCACCCTCTCTCCGTCTCCGCCCACCCCAGTCTCCCCGACGCCCCGCGGCTCTGTGCTGGGGGCTGAGGGGGCTCATCCTGACGCCCGCACCCCGGAGGCTCCCCCTGCCTCCCCCCAGGCTCCCCACCCCGCTCCTCCGCTGAGCGGCGGCGGAGATGGATGCGACCTCCCCCGGGGATCGCCGGACTCGCCGGACCGCAGCAGCAGCGCGGAGGAGAGGGGTAGCCGAGCACCAGGGAGGGTAAGTCTCCGTGCTCCCACTTTAGAGGTGACAGGGGCGTGCGGGTGCGGAGGGAGGACTAACGCATCTCTCGGGCGCCCTGCGCGGGAGAGCCTGACCCGGGAAAGCGTCTGCGTCACACCGCGTGGCAGCGACGCAAGTGGCTTGAGAAAGTCAAGGACTGCCGTCCGCCCGGCCAGACGCTCACTGTGGGTCCCAAATGCCACGGGTGTGTGTGTGGGGGGGAGGGGGGGGCGATGGGGCAGGGGGTTGTAAGCGTGGTGGGGGATGGGGAGTCAGGACACCAGCTTGGATCCCAGGCTGAGTCTGTGCTTGGCTACGCAGGGAAGTGGCCGCCCGCGCTCTAGCCCTCCCTCTCTGGGGAAACGCGCGGCGCAGGCTCCCTTTTCTGATTCTAGGGAAACTCCAAGGAGTGACAGAAGCCCCCCCCAAAACTGACGTCTCCGCCTCTCCCTCAATCTGTCTGCTTCTCCGTGCCACCCCACCGCTAGGGTGCAGAGTGGGACTGCGCCGCACCCCACCACCCGTTTCCTCCCTAATTCAGTGTCCGAGGCAGCGCCGCCTTCTGCCCGCCCCCGAGCGCTGATGGGACCTGTTCCCTGTCAATCCTGGTGATCCTCGAGGTTCCTGGCGCGTGAAAAAAGGCCGGGGGAGGACGCGCGGACTCCAGATGACGCAAGGCTCTCCCCGAGACACGGAGGGAAGTCCCTGCACCCAGGCCCGGGGAGCCTCTGCCCACACCCCCAGCTCACGGCGCACCAATAAGGAGTCGGGCCCTCCCCACACTCAGCGGCTCCAGGGCGACCAGAGTGTAGAAACCAACTTCCCAGCCGTCACCAAGCGCAGCTGAGCAGGGTCAGGACCCTAGAAAGCGCCCCAATTCCCGAACCCCGAGGGGGCGGACGCGCGCTCGCCTCTGGAGTGTAGGCGCACGCCCTGGGCTCGCCACCCCGACCCCAGGCTCCCAGCTCACACCGAGGCCCCAGCGGAGGCCGCGCAGGGAGGGTCTCGGGCTGGAGAGCAGTGACTTCTCCCAGCAGCGGGAGGGGCGCGGGGAGCGGGGTGCCCACTCACCATGCCGGCGCAGAGGCTGATGACCGCCGTGTGCTCGGGCTGGGCATTGACGTGGCCTCTGTAGAAACAGTGCTGGAGCTCGGCTTCGTCCTCGGAATAGAACTTGGTCTGGTTCTCCTCCGGCGCCCCGAGGAGGGTGACGGTGAACCGCGGGGCGATAAAGCCGGCCTGGGCGGTGAGGTTGAATAGGAACTGCCGGCCGAAGGCGGAGAGGCGGTAGTGCGCGCGGGAGGAGGCGGCGGCGGCGGAGGAGGAGGAGGAGAAGGAGGAGGCAGGCCAGGGGTCAGCGGCGGAGTCAACGCTCCGGCGCCTCCGTTTGAAGTGCACGTCGGTGGGAAAGGGCTCCCCGAGGGCGTTCACGCGGACGGGGGACGCGATGTCGTATTCGCTCAGGGTCTCCAGTAACTTCACTGCGGAGAGAAGCAGACACAGCCGGTCATTCCGTTTTCCAAAAGTTTCAAATTAAATTAAAATAAAGGTGAGGGGGGCTTTGTCCTCAGTGGCTTCCCAGCGGGGGGTTTTCTTTTCCCACTTGACTCAACCTCTTCACCCTCAGTCAGCGGACACATATTTGCTGAGCACCTACTGTGCGCTAGGAAGAGCCAGGAAACGTGCAAGACGCTGAGGATACAACTTTAGGAGCCAGGAAAAGTGAGCAAGTCAACAAACTAAAAGTAATGTCAGACTCTGACACAACCCTCAGCAAAATAAAACAAGCTGCTAGCCGTTGCCCTCAGTTACTAAGTTACGGTGGTTAGGGGCACAGAGGTCGGGGAGGGGGAAGATCGGGCTGGAAGCAGAGGGTGTGGGAGATCAGCTCCTTCCCCAATGCCACTCTCTGCGAATTGGCCGGGGATGACCTGGAGAAGGGAGAGGCTGCGAAGCGGGAAATTATTCTTTCTAGGAAAAGGACAGAGGCTCCCGCCGCGTGGTGCCCGCTCCGGGCGAGGAGACTGGGGGGTCCGGAGGGTCCGGGGGCGGAGGGGACAGGGGCCGGAGGGGACAGGGGCCGAGGGGCCGGGGCCGGAGCCTGGTTACCTTGCCTCGGGTGCAGCCTGTCCGCGCGCACGGCCGCCGCGGCGTCTGGGCTCGCCATCTCGGCCAGATCCCGCACCAGGAGCGTTAGCAGGGCGGCCCAGGATACAAACTGCATGGTGCTCCCCACCCTCCCCCGCCGCCCTCACCCCCTCCCACCTGCCCCCTCGGCTGCGGCGGCCGCGGAGAGCGCGGAGGCCGGCGCCCGCCGCCGGGGCTGGGCTTTAGGAGTCGCTGAGGTCCCGCCGCGAGGGTCCCGCCTGCGCTCGACTGAGCACCGCCGCCGCCTGCCGAGAGCCGAGCCGCCCGGGCCGCCGGAGGAGCCGCCGGAGGAGCACTGGGAGGACTACGGCCCCGCCGCTCGGCAGCATACTGTCCGGGGAGCGCGCAGGAGGAGGCGCGGACCGTGCGCTCCGAGGCGCGGCGGCGCCCTGTGCTGGCGCGGATAGCGGAGCGGCGTCTTGAATGGGGGGCGGAGGCGGGGGGGGGGGGGGCGCAGGTCCTCCGCCGCTCAAATACCCCGGTGCCGCCTCCAGGAGGAGGGGTGGGGAAAGCCGAGGAGTGCGGACCGCCTCCTTCCAGACCGCGGCCCCGCGGGCCCGGCCGTGCGGGACTCCGGCCTCGGCGTCCGGAGGCGGCGGCCGGGGGCGCCGGGAGCGCGCGGGCTGCGGGTCGCGGTCAGGGCTGCCGCGTGGAGCTGAGCTTTGCGGGGACTCCCGGACCCGGGGGAGAGAGCTGATTTGCGGTCTCTTTCCTGGCGCCCGCAGTCCCTCTCCGGGTCTCTCGTTTCCTCTGCCCTCTCTCCTCCCCGTTTGCTTTCCCTTCCAATCTCCTCTCTCCGCCGCGCTGGCTCTCCAGGCCGCTGGGAATCGGCTTCCCTCCACCCCACCCCCTCCGTGGTCTCCACTCCTTCCTCAGCGCTCCTCTAACTCCCCGCATTTTTCTCTTTCCTTTTTTCTTTATCTCTCCTATGTTCCCATCTTTTTGCAACAGTCCTCTTCCTCTTCTCTCCTCCCCGGTCTTCTCTCCTCCAAACCCTTTCTTTTTGGTTTCTCACAAGTGAAAGTGGCCCAGTGCAGAAGCGCCTTCGCTTCTTGGTCTTACTGAGGACTACATTTGTTATCTAATCACCCCAAGCCAGGAATTTTAGGAACTGGGTTCCTAATCTTACAGTTGGGGGTGTGTTTCAAGTCCTTGGCCTCCTGAAAGTTTCGAAAAACTTTCCCCCAGACTCATCCCCTTCTGAGAGGGTCCATGGCTTTCTGTAGGTTCCAACCCAAAAAAGGTTAAGAACCACTCCTGGAAGCCAGAGGGGGCGGGGACTTTGGCGCTGGGACTGCCCAGGGAGGGGGAGGGGTGAGAGGTGTGGAGGGCAGGGGGTGGGGGCGAATGCCAGAGGAGAGTCCTGACCCCAGAGGGGAAGCACCAGCCTAAGAGGGGTTTCTCAGTCACTTATGCATGCTTTCTGCCAGAGATGCTTCCAGCCCCGCAAAGCTGAACTATCCTTACCTCCACCCTGCCATCCAAATTGGAAAGTCAGAAAGTAAGCCAGAGAGGGAGGATGCCAGTCTGTGAAGGTGTGAGTCTGTGTGTAAATTGTCTAATCCCGAGGGTTCAAAAGCACCTTTTCCTTTACCAGGCCTCAGGAAGATGGGCTGTGCTGATTTCAAGAGAAAGGAAATGACAAATTTTGGGAAAGGTATGACATGTGCATTTGCCCAAGTTTGCCAGAACCAGAGTTTCTTGTCACTTAGTAGGCTGGCACTCAGGGTTGAAAATACTTAAGGTTGCCAATACCGGGGGCCAAATAGCAATAGGCTAGAAATGTCCACTACCCTGGAAATATTAATGCACACATTTCTCCTGGTAGAAGGGAAAATGATGTGGCAAGACTGGAAGAGCCTAAAGAAATTGTTAATCCGAATGGACTGACCACCATTGCCATTGTCCAACTGTTTTTCCTGAAATGTGTAACTCCTGGGTGTATGCAATGATGCATAAAGACAGTAAAATAGTAACACCTGAGTAGTACACAGTAAGAGATTTTTAAGAGATGACATTTAAGTATTTGTCTTAAACCTTCCAAGTAATTCACTAAAACACATTTCTTCTAATATAAGATCTTTCTTCTCTTTATAAATAAAATTCCTCATAATCACAGCATCAGGGAGTTGCTGAGAGCTTACCAAGGAACAGAAAAATATCAATAAATCAAACTATTAGCTGATTCTCAGGGAAAGTATTGTAGAACTCACACTATAAAATTGCTGCATAGCACCTCTATGGGCACTTAGGCGAATGGAACAGAATAGAGAACCCAGAAGTAAACCGATGCACACATGGTCAATTTATTTATGACAAAAGAGCTGGGAATGTATGATAGGGAAAGGATAATCTCTTCAACAAATGGTTTGGAGAAAACTGGACGGCCACGCACATGCAAAAGAATGAAACTGGATCGCTTTCTTGCATCATATACAAAAATTAGCTCAAAGTGGATCAATGATTTGAACATAAGACCTGAAATCATAAAACTAGAAGAAATATACTGGGTGATCTCCTTGACATCGGTCTTGGTGATAATACTTTGGATTTGACACCAACCAAAAGCAAAGGCAACAAAAGCAAAAATAAGTGGGACTACATCAAACTGACAAACTTCTGCACAGCGAAAGAAACCAGCCACAAAACAAAAGGCAACCTATGGAATGGAAAAAATATGTGTACATCACATATATCAGAAAAGGGGTTAATATCCAAAGTATATAAAGAACTCATATAACTCAGTAGTAGAACACACACACACACACACACACACACACTGATTTAAAAAGTGGAAAGAGGATCTGAATTTTTTTTCAAAGAAAACAATGCAAATCAAAACTACAGTGAGATACTACCCCACACCTATTAGGATGGCTTTTATCAAAAAGATGAAAAATAAGTGTTGCAAGGATGTGGAGAAAAGGGAACCCTTGTACACTGTTGGTAACGGTATAGAAGTTTTGCCAAAAAATAAAAGTTTAGAAGTACCATATGATCAAGCAATTCCACTTCTTTTTATTCGAAGGAAATGAAAAAAACGTAATTCGGAAAGATACCTGCACCCTCATGTTCATTGAAGCATTATTTAAAATGCCCATGGCATTGGATAACCTAAGTGTTCTTGAATGGATGAACACTTTCTATTTCCTTTCAGCTCTAGTGAAATGATTGGATTGTATCAGCAGCAACCCAGCCTGCTCAGTGGTTGAGTATTGACCTATGAAATAGGAGGAGGTCACAGGTTGGATTCCTGGTTAGGGCACATGCCCTGGTTGCTGGCTCAATCTCCAGTAGAGGGCGTGCAGGAGACAGCCAATCAATGATTCTCTCCCATTGATGTTTCTATCTCTCCCTCTCCCTTCCTTTCTGAAATCATTAAAAATATATTTAAATAAAATAAAAAAAGAAATCTTACCTTCTATGACCACATGGATGGACCCTTAAGGGCATTATGAAAAGTGAAATAAGTCATACAGATGCCATATAATCTTAATTATTTGGAACCTAAAGAAAAAATTTAAAAAATGAACTTATAAAGAGAATAGACTAGTGGACTAGTGGTTGCATGAGGTGGGGGTGGGCAAAATGGGTAAAGATGGTCAAAAGGTACCAAATTCCAGTTATAAAATAAATAAGTTCTGGGGAATGTAATATACAGCATGGTCACTATAGTTAATAATATTCTATTGTAGATTAGAAAGTTGCTAAGAGAGTAGATCTTAAAAGATCTCATCATTGGAAATGAAAATTTTTGGTGATGATTTCACAATATATTCTTAAATAAAATTATTATGTTATATAACCAAAACTAAAATAATGTTATATGTCAATTATACCACAACTAAAAATTAAAGTTTATAAAGGATTAAAAGTAGCACTTTTCAATATTTCCTATTAAACAATTTCCCTCTATTTTCATTTGAACCACTCCTGATAAAGAGAAGCTAGTTCTAATATGTTGGGACAGAAGCCTTCTTTGTTTATTCTCTCTTTAGCTTACTTTCTAGGATTTGGTTTTAAAGGATGGACTTTGTTTACTGTTGTTTAAAATTGCTGTTGATACAGCCCAATCATTCCACAAGAGCTGAAGGGAAGGGAAATACAAAGTAGCTCTTGGTGACCTCGGGAGGTAACCAAGAGGCCGAGTTTCTGAATTTCTCATGGACAGTCAGTCTACTAATCCTTTCTCAAGTATATTATCTTGCCTCTGAATTTACAGCTGTACACAAGTCTCATAGAGTCTTAGGAAGATGTTCGAAATCATAAGACATGAATAGAACAATTGAGCTATCTAAATAATTAAGATTAAAGATATTTTATCTGAATAATAACAGTTATAATAATAAAATTTTATGTAGTACTTACCTTGTGTCAGACTGCATGCTAATATAAGCATTACATGTAATTTTTACAACAGCTCTATGAGCAGGTGCCATTGGTAACTTCATGATACAGGTAAGGATTTTATGGCCTAAAGATGTGAAATAATTTGACAGGGGTTCCCTGACTACTAGGTAAGGGAGAGACATAATTCAACTTCTGTTTCAGCAGCTTAGTTCAAGTTCATAATTATTATATCACATATCATGAATAAATGATCAGCAGATTGCTGGGTTTGGGGAGGTTTGGTTTGGGGGAGGGTGGCTAAAATAACCTATAGAATTGCCTCAGTTTTCTTTTGAATGTATAATTTTCTTTGGCTCTGTAACTCCTTTTTCCAATGCTGAATATTTTATGATAACTTCTTAGCTATTTCATTGATATTTCACAACTTTTTCCTCAGCAGCTAGAACAGGTCTGGCACATAGTAGGTTCTCAAAAAAAAAAAGTTTATTGAATAAATATAATCCTTCTACTTTGGTTCAACTGTGATAAATGACTTCTTTATTACACACACACACACACACACACACACACACACACACACGAACGTGCAATTTGGAGGTTGGTCCTATAAATAGGAGTATCAAATTACCTGAGTGGGGGAGAGGGTATAGTTTCTATAATAAGTTGGCCCATCACAAGGGTTTGCTTTGAAAGAAATAGAGCTTTATTATTATTATTATTATTGATGTCAGAGAGGAAGGAAGAGGGAGAGAGGGATAGAAGCATCAATGATGAGAGAGAATCATCTATTGTCTGCATCCTGCACATCCCACACTGGGGATCAAGCCTGCAACCCAGGCATGTGCCCTGATGGGGACTTGAACTCTGATCTCCTGGTTTATAGCTCAATGTTCAACCACTGGGCAAAAGCAGAGCTTTCTGAGGTTACCCAGAGTTAACAGAGGGACAGTTCTTAGCCCATTTTTGTCTCCCAGGCTTTACAGGAATTGAATGTTATTGTAGGTTAAGTGGAGACTCCTCATTAAAATTGGATCTCAGGGGAGTGGTGATTGACATTAGTCACTAGGGAGAGACAATCTGGTCACTGGAAATATGAAAGATGCTATCACATGTGACTTTGCAGAACTCCACTGAAAACAGCAGGAAGGAGATTTGAAGCAAGGCCACTGATTTCACAGAGAGGGAAACCCACACCTGAATGCCAAGGAGGGAGCAGGGGGCCAGAATGAAAGGGAATAATTTCCTGAGTGGTCAGCAGTGTGGGGCGTCTAGAAGTAGACAAGCCCATGGTATGGATTTGTGAGCCAAGTACAAGCAGGGATTTTGTGGCAGAATTCTGTGACCTGGGGCAGTGTGATTTCTGATCCAGTTTCATGTTTGCAGAGTACAAGTGGGAAAACACCATGTCATCTTTTTTGACCACATGGGTGAATGGCCCTAGTATTTTAAAAAATAAATTTATGTGGGTGGCATTAATGGGTAACATTACATATACTTGAAGTGTAC